ATGTACAAATGCGCTTTACACAATTGATGTGTGTATGGATTGCGATAACAGTTGTATGAGCCCCTAATAAAATGTTTAAAAAAAAAAAAGCTGTCAAAGCACAGCCTCCTAGAGACCAGAAGAATTTGATGGTGCCCCGCCACCACCACCATCAGCTCTGATGTGATGGGGTCACAGCAGAGAGTCCTACACAGACAGGAGGAAACTGATGGAAGAAAACATTCAAAATCAGAAGAGAAGGCCAGATTTACTAGTCTGATAGAGACTGGCGGAAGCCCTCGACACTGGCCCTCGGGGAACCCTTTAAGCGTGGAACTGAGCTCACCCCCCAAGCATCAACTTTTGGCCAAACAATGGCCAATAAAGTGAGTACCACTGCCCATGCAGCACTCCTATGAACAATCAGCTGCACAGACGAGCCGCAAAGCTCAGAGACAGGAAGGGGCACGTGGGAAGGCTGGAAGGGGCACCCAGGGCTGGGGCGAGTGCTGTTCTCTGAGGCTCTGCAGCCAATGTCAGGGACAGAATGTGTGTGGACTGTTTAAGTGTTGAGTGGAAAGCTCCTTTGCCCTTTGAACACCGTCAGAACTAGCTTAAAAGGCCCACAGACAAGTACTGGACTTGAGTCCATTATAGGCATCGACACTGGGACGGTGCAAACACCTCATCTGTGGCAAGTTCAAGCACATCTCTGCAAGGGACGCGACTCGGAAGGGCCATGGTGCGGTTGTGCTCTGCACACACCATGAGTCGGAGCTGACAGACGGCAACCAGGGGCTTACTTGGTTTAGACAGTCATTGAAGAATGCCACAAGCCCCCTCAGAACATGCTGAAACTTGAGCAGGAGGGCCAGAGGCTATAGGGGACTGGCGGTGGGAAGACAAGGGTAACCCAGGCATGGTCTCCAACTACGTCCACGTGCATCGCGGTGCAGATGGCTGCGTGTCAGAAGGACAAGGTGCGCTGCTTCTGTACAGGCTGACAGCCTGGCAAACCCAGGAGCACTTCTGTCCTGTGCTCTCGGCCCAGGAGTTCAGGGCTGAGGGTTTGGTGTCAGGAGTCAGTGAAATGAGCCTGAAAGGAATGGATGGTCCTGGGTCATCGAGGT